AAGAGAGAGAGAGAGAGAGAGAGAGAGATAATCACCATGAACACACTCCCCGTTGAAATCTTTATCGAGATTCTTAGCCACCTTCCCCCCGCATCATTCAAGTCCGCGCGCCTCACCTCGCGCCAGTTCAACGCCGTCCTCGCGCAGCCCACCTTTTGCACGCTGCGCGGCTTCCTCGACGACGCCGACGCCGCCATGGTCACTCTACTCCAGACGCTGCACGACCTCCCCGGCCGCCCGCGCGCCATGTGGTCGCCGCACTGCAGCGTGCCCGCCGGCCTGCCGCTGCCGCCCAGCTTCTTGCGGGCCGTGTACGCGGCGTTGGGCGGGGCAGCGGGGCCGAGGATGAAGAGGAGGAAAAGGAGGAGGAGCGGCGGCAGTGGACGGCGGCTTGAGCTGACGGATTCGTCCGACGAGGGTAGCTCGGATGAATGGGATATGACGAGTCCAAGCATTCTGGAGGGACAGGAGCAAGGGGAAGAAGAAGAGGAGGAGGAGGAGGAAGAGGAGGTGAGCACGGCAGTGGTGCTGCAAAGGCTGGGACGGCCAGAGGTCAACGAGGATACGCTGCGGCAGGCGCTGTTTCGCTATGCGTTGCACAAGAGTTATGTATACGACGGCGAGGGCGAGGCGCCGCAGCTATGGGTCATGAACTCGACAAAGTGGAAGTATCAGCTTTGATTGGCAGCTGTCACACCTAACAAATCACCTTGTATTCTTTTTTTTTCTTTTTTTTTCTTTTCATTCCTTTTTTTCTTGGAGCAAGCGTGTATATACTCTGCAAAGTAGCTTAAATCCATATTTAATTTCCACCCACTACCAAATACATTGAACTAATATAACAAATCTATTAACCCCCGGGGTTCTTTGACTCTTTTCAAAAAGGCTTGTCCCCCCAATATCTTATTATGCGCAACCGTCAAAGAGGGCTGCAAAAAAGTGTTTTGTGTATTTCAACCCATCCCCTACTTTACAAAAAAGTAGACGGCACTACTTTACAAAAAGTAGGCGGCAATCATGCCAGCGACAGCAAGGCCGCCGACGGCCTGGCGAGGCGCAGCGGCCGCCGTCCAGACCTGGTTGGGGGTAGGAGCAGTTCCGTTGCCGCTGTTATCCACCACCAGGCCCGTGGCCGTGGCCGCGCCGCCGGTGGCCGTGACGGAGCCATAGCCCGGAGCAGTGCCAGTCGCCGCGGCGGCCTTGGCAAAGGCCACGACGCCGTTGATCGCCGCGAGGACCTCGGGGGCGGGCTGGTCAGCGTCGCGCGGCGTCGCCTGCGCGGCGTTGGCGTTGGCTTCGGGAGCGGCAGTGGCAGCGGCGGGAGGGGCGGGCAGGCCCTTGTTGTCGCCGGGGTTGCCAAACTGGGCGTCGGCGCTGGCGATGAGCTTGTCAATGTCCTCCTCGGAGGGCAGGCCGTCGTCGGCGTTGACGATGGCGGCGACCTGGGACGTCTCGGCGGGGGTGGTGGCCTCGGTGGCGTCGGGCGTGGGCTGGACGCCCGCGGCAATGGACGACTGCGCGGCTTGGAGAGCGTCAGTAGGGATGTTGCCGACAAAGGCGTCGAGATCCGAAAAGTCGTCGGCCTCGACGGCGGCACCGTGGGCGGTGGCGGCGGCGGCACCGTGGGCGGTGGCGGCGGCGGCGACGGCGGCGATGAGAGCGGCGTTGAACTTCATGGTGGTGGTTATATTAAAAACGTTGGATGTGTATATTTGGCCGTTTTCCTTTTTTTTTGTGTAGAATAAGAGAATTTAGACGTTGAAACAGAGGAGGCATAGGGGGGATTGGCGTAGAGGAGGCTCTTATATCTCGAGGGCACGTTCCCCCCCCATCTTGATTCAGATCGCTAGCTAGTAGTCCCGCGTCATCGCATCTAATAACCCAGCACAGCTGGAAAAGAAAATCCCCGCCAACCCGCGGCCTTTCGAGAGCGAGTTTCGTCCCCTGGCTGAAAAACGGAGAAGAAGAAAAACCAAGAGCGTCGAAGCGCCGCCGAGCTTTTCTCGTCTCCCACCTGAAGCAAGGGCACCACCACCCAAAGCATGTTACTCCGCCTCCACAAGCTCGCTACAGCGCCAACTTGTTAGCTACCAAAGCATGAAGAAGTCCGGATCCGGGATTGGCTGTTTTTCCAAGGCCGCGGGGCGTTGACTGCTTAAAGTGAACGGACGTTCGCGAGAAGGGGGCCCGGGAGCGAGCTGCAAAGCAACCCCCACAGCACAGCCGTGCCTGAGAGTTGTGCCCGGGAAACTAGAATCTCCCGCTGATGAAGATGGACTAGAGCAAGGGGGTTGGTTAGTTTATGCCACATGGACAAGAACGGAGGCACGAGGGTGACAAAACAGACCGTCGGTGCTTAAGCAGGCGTGTCAGCAACCACAGTGTATTTCTCTACGCATAATATGTTATATAAAATATAAGATAAAAATAATTAAATTCTTTATATCATTCTCTATGTATTAGATATCTTGACTAGGGACTTTGCTCTTTTTTCCTATTATTAAGAATGAGCCTTACTCCGTGTGCCGGCGATCTGTCTTGTCACGCTTGGGGGGGGAATTGGATGGCAGCATTGTGGATAAGCAGCATTGTTAATGGACTTGGATGAACATGTTTCGTACTTGCATAGATGTTTGGGAGCAACATGTTTCGAAACGCGCCTGTTTCGGCTCGCTATGCCAAGTTGTGGCGCCCGAAGCCAACTCAACCAATACATGTTGAGCCACCAACTTAATCCTCCAGAACCAACAAAAGACTTCTAAAAAAAAAAAAAGAGAGAAAAATCACACAATTGTCGAGTTGAAAACTGAATCCATCATGGCGATTACAGCGTCTTTTTTTAATTCCGGCAATCCCGGCGAACATCATCATACCCGCCCACGTCATTGTCCCAGGGGGAAAAAAAAAAAAGACACAGACAGGACCGTGCGAGGCTGACGCGTTTCCTGCCATGGCACCACCCGTGGGGAAAAGTTTTCCTTTATGAACTCAGGAGGCCCGTGTACTTATTGATCAAGGCGTGCTTTTCTTGATTTTTTTTCATGCAGAGTTGGCAGGCGCTCAGCTTGCCCCTGAGTGCAGTTCCCTGGGGATGATGAATGACACAGGACGGGTGGGGGGGGGAACGGTGGGCGTGGATATATATAGACCGCTTTCATCTCGCGAATCGACCTGGTGAGGGCCTGGACGGACTTGTAAAAGGTCTGGACGGGCTTGTAAAAGGTCTGGGCGGACTTTGCGCATGGTGCCTGCAGTTGGTACAGCACGGTACTGTATTTGTCCGACTCCCAACAACTGACTCGTTTCCATCACGACCAATCCATGACTGTACTTGACTAAAAAAAAGAAGACTTGTGCAAAGTTCTGACCTCTTGTTTGCAAAAAAGAAAAAATTGTAGACATTTATTATCGCATGTGTTGCATAAACATTATGATTTCGACCTCGTTCACAGCAAATCCAGTTCTTTCCATAAAAAAGCAAAAAAAAGCAAGTAATTCACATTTCGTTGCGTTTATACATTTCAAGTCATCCCCCCCAAGTCGCAAAGTTCAAAAGCAAACTCCTCAAAAACGGCTCTACTTTCTTCATTAGAGTCGTGATTTATGCAAGGATTTTAGAAGAGGGCGGCAACGGCCAGACCAAATGCAAAGAGGCCGCTCATGGCATTGTTGGCCGCGGCATCGTTGGAGTTGGGGGGAGGAGTCGTGGCGGTGGGCTTGGGGCCCGCGGTGCTGGTCAGGGTAATGATGCTTCCGCCGCCGCCGCCGCCGCCGCCGCCGCCGCTGCTGCTGCTGCTGCTGCTGCTGCTGCCAGTGCTGGTCGACCTGGTGGTGCTTGTAGACCCGGTGATGATGGGGATGGAAAAGGTCGAGTTGTTACCGGTGTGAGCGGGAGTGCTGGCGGTTCCGGGAGGGGTTCCGGGAGGAGGCGAGGGCAGACTGATGTAGGCGCTGCTGCTGCTGCTGCCGCTGACAGTGGAAGCTGGCGCCGTAGAAGAGCTCGGCAATGTGTGGGAGCCAGTCGAGGAAGAGGCGGGAGGACCGCTGCTCGAGGTAGAGCTGCTGCCACTAGTACTCGACGATGCAGCAGAGCTGCTACTGCCGCCGGTGCTAGTCCAATTAGACGTGGCAGTAGAGCCGGTGCTAGTAGGTTGGCCCGTCTCTGTAGCCGACGGGGTGCACTTGTCGGCGGGCAAGGTAAATGGATTCTCGGCGTAGACGACGCACTACAGATGATGGGTGTTAGCATCAAAGACTTTGGAAAACGTCCCCAATAGTCCAATCTCTAGTAATCTGTTCTTTCATGTTCGTCCCAAGACGGGGGTTGTCGCAAATGGCAACACACAAAAATAGCAAGTGAATGAACAAGAGTATCACAAAACTCACATTCTTCTGGCAGGCCGCGTCGCCGGCGTCGCGAGAGCTCTCCCAGCACTCGGCGACGCCACCGGCGGGCGGGTAACCCGAGACGTTGGCGGAGCACCGGGCCGGCTCGCCGAGGGCGTCGGGTCCGCAGCGCAGGATAATGTCGCCGCCCATGCAGTAGCTTGCATTGGGTTTTGCGCAGTTAATTTTTGTGCCCGAGGGTAGAGCGTGATGCTGAGGCTCTGCGGCGACAAGGCCAGCGGCGAGGATGACGGTCGCGGCGGCGGCGGCGGCAGTCTTCATGATGGTGAATGTGGAGGTATTTGTTCAAACGACGAATACAAAGACTCAATTTGTTGCCCTTTTTTTCTTTTTTTTTTTTTTTTTTGCCTTCACGTGTAGTAAATGCAACGCTGTGTTTGGTGTCTGTTTTTAGTTATTGATAAGCGAATGGCTTAGTTAAAGATCAACCGATAATGTAGAGAGATGGGTAAAAATGAAAGATTTGGTTGAATTACAATAGGAAGATTGGAAAAAAAAAAAGAAGGGTCTGGAAAAGCAAAATAGGACGAGGCGAGACTATGCATGTTTATATGTCTTGCCCTGCAGCCCTTTGTTGTCATATGCTACGTAATTAGATGTGCAGGAAGCCGAAAGGGTGGGCGAGACAGGGATCAAAAAAGGAAGCGAACGGGAGCGAGGTACAACTTACTCCATACAGACGGTGCGGCTGGGAATGATACGATGAAGTAATGTACTGATAGGCAGAAGAAAAGCTGATTTTTTTTTTTTACGAGGTTGCAGTGTGACCTGGTGGGCCAATGTTGACCGACTCTGGCACTCTGGTTGTAACTAGTTGGAGGCGTAAAGCCGTAAAACCTAAGAAAAAGGTTGTAGAAAAAAGGTGGGTGGTGGTGAATGACTCTGTCGTGAGAGAGAGAGAGTCGGCAGCAATGGGTGTGCGGCTGATGAGCGGGGTTACCCTCGTCTTGATGCTATTCTTACACACACATCCATTCTCATCACATCAAAAGACCCTGCAACGTCACTCTTCAATGTTGCCACGCTAATAATCCGGCCGAATCCCCATCTTGGCAACACCTTTGGTTCCCCCTTGTAGTGAACCAGTAACAAGGCTGGAGTGGCCAAGCAGAGGCAGCCGACGTCGTCATAGGGCCACTAGCCAAAAAGAGACCATCCCACCATCGCCTAATCCGTATTGGTTGTCTCGGTGTCTTGCACGTCGTGTACAAGGAATGTCTTTCATCACGAGCTTGGCGCAAGAATTTTCAGAAAAAAATGAAGAAAATAAAAAACTAGTTGCCAGAGATAAAAAAACATGTCATCGTCGCAGTCGCCAACAAAAGTAGCTAGTCGCCACGTCGCTCCCCAATAACTACATGCCAACTTTTTTTGTCCAGATTGCTTGCCCTCCATCTCGTCTCCAGCTTTATCCACTTTCCCCAAAGCCACCAGCCATGATGGGCACGCCAACGGTACCGATTAGGCATCTGCTTATTTCGTCTAGTTTCAGAGCCCCCCCGGGCACAAGGGCCGGGAGGCCCCAAGTTTCACCAGCCGAGTTGTGTTGAACCCTCTCTCGAGAAACAAAAGGACGAAAAAAAGAGGCAAGAAAAATGAAAAATAAAATATAAAATATAAAATATAAAATATAGAATTGCATCATCCCTTTGGCAGTTAAAGGAGGATGGTATTGGGGTCAAGAGCTCCATTGACTTTTGAGAAACCCTCAAAATATCGCTTTAGCAGGGAATTTTTTACGCTATTCTAAAAAAAGGCTTCAATCCCGTATCTTCCTTCTACGCCGTGGCACGGGTACATATTACTCGGACACAGCGGCGCGCCCCGATTGATGTAATAAGCTTACAGGTACATACCTGGCATTCAAGTGAGGCTCCGGGTATTTGGCCAGGCACCCTCTGTGACTCGAAATTTTCCTCCTCCCAAAGCCAGAAGGATACTTGAGCCAATCAAACGCTTCACCAAGTGCCAAGTAGCTGCAAACACTGAGAAAAATACCACATTACACATTACTTTTGTCGGGTGTTGCCAGTATCGCCAACGACGGGGGGTCCCTCGATTCAGATCGCCCAGGTCGTGCCGCTACGGAGCCGATTCTGATCTGATGGGGTTCCGTTTCCCTCTTGGCTTCACTTGGAATTTACGGCAGCCATCGATTGTTACTGCCAACGACACTACATTGGTAATGAAACACTCAGAAACTGTCGTCTGCAGAGCATCATCGCAAAAAGTCAAAATGTGTATTGTCAGCAGTCAAAGAGCAACGAGGTCGGCCAAGTTGAGATATGAGTGTTTTACGGCCGATGAAGATGCAAATATTAAATCACTATATTAGGTTCAATCTACCAGTAACCGCCTGCTTTGCACAATAAATCAGTTGAATGACTCGTCGAGTTACGTCTTGTTGAATGCTGTAAATCGTTCCAGAGGCCTGCCTGCCTTCACCCCAAGCAGCAGACCTCGACATACACCCCCGTGACAATGTCGCTTTGCCGCGACATTAAACGCCATATCTTGCGTCACCAACTCCTCGGTCACTCTATAATATTCTTTTTTTCAACGTCCATAGCTTTCATGATCGCGTTCAAGGCCCTCTTTGCAGGCTTTCCGTCAGTCTCGTAAACCGGGGATAAATTGATCTGAATATCAAACGCAAGCTTCGTCACATCCTCCTCTCTCTTTGACGAGACAGACTTTTGGTAAAACTCTTCCAATGCCTCGGCCACTGCCTCGTCAATGAGATCATAGCGGTCCACCCCGGCAATATCGAAATGCCAGTTGTCTCCAGAGTAGCCGGTGTGGGCGGCGATGACGGCGCCCACCGTCACCTTGCCTTGTTGCCCTTTATAGTCAAAGGTACCAAAGGTGCGTGCGCGACGTACATAGGCTTCCTGCACAGTGATGCCTCTCGTGAGCTTGCAAACCTGGGCATTGCCGCCGCGCACAACGACAATGGCCAGGTCCATGAGTGGCTTCTCCTCTTCATTCCAGATAAAGTTCTCACTGCCGACAGACATGGACTTGCACCAGGGAGCGTAGCCGTAAGCCTGCGCCGGGCATAGTTTTTCGAGCGCGTTATGAGCGCGGAAGAAGCCGGCCACCAGACCAGACTCGTTGTACGGCTGCGCACCATGGGTTTCCGGTGTCTTGAACCTCGGGAACACGACCCCGGTTTGCTTCTTTTGTACTCTGTCCTCGATAATCTTGGCCTTGGATTTGTTTTCGGTTGGAATTCCGCACACCCGGCCGCTCTCAGCGCATGCACATGCCTTGATTTCGGATCTTTTCATGGTGCATACATACGTAAACGCACCGTCAATAGTAATATGTCTTGATGGGTCCTCAACAGTTTGAAACGCCTCGCGTTGCAAAACGAGATCAGGCGACATGCCCTGGGCTAATTTTAGGACAAGCTCAAAAACGAGGTTCATCGAGAGGCGAGGCGCTTGAATGATGACAGAGTTGCTGCTCTTGGCGGCTTCGAAAATGCCTGTGATTCCGGTCTCCTTAGCGACCTTGTCATCGTATGTCTTCTTTGCAGTGTCTTTTATAGTTCTTTCGTCAACAAAGTCTCCGTTGCCGAGTTGTTCTCTAATTACTTTATACGTGGCAGTGGCAGATTGAGGAAGCGATGCTGGTTTTCGCCCCTCTTTTGTCTTTTGATCGGGTTCGTCCTCGTTGAAGATGAGCGACACCTCGTCGCTATGGTCGGAAACGGTGCAGATGAGCTTGGAGCCACCGGTTTTTAGCTGTTCAGGTGCCTCGTTGTATTTACACTGTTTCACCTGGACCTTGACACCGTGACAGAGTTCCTTGTTGTCTTGAATACGACCAGAAGCCACGTTGTAAAGCTCAGGGTATTCGATACAGAGTACCACGAGGTCAGGTGCATTGTGCTCCATGTTGATGATTCGGATTGTAGGTGGGCAAAGTAGTGCTGCTGGTTTTGAGTGCGAGTCAAGTTGCAAGGCCTCTCTGCTTTTATCGATGATTTGCTGAGAAGCAGGTACAAAGGCGTGATGGAGAATGAAGAATCAGGCGATGCAATGCTAAAACCCTTTCTCAGTGCAGGATAACAAGGCTTTATACTTTTTCGAGTCATGAGACTTGTTAGCCTCAGGCTTCACTATACAGACGGGAGGATCATGACGAAGCCTGCCTGCCTACCGTTGCCTGAATCCAAGTCACACAGATGCAGAATTCAGCGCTTCTGGGTAGCACAGCCCCGGAAACTGTACCTGGTAAAGTGGCGCAGTAATAAGACGTTATTTGTCCAGCCCCGAGTGTTCTACGGTGACGGGTTTGATAATTTTGATAGGACCGTCGCAGGTGCCTGCTTGGCGCATCCTTTGAGTCAGAGCTATAAGAGGTAACTTGGCCGTTTTCGAGGTCACACAAAAGAATTCCCTTGGGTGTGTCTTCTATAAATACAATATTGACTCATTCATGATGGCATGGGCAGCAACGCAAGCTATATTTATTCTTTCGCCTGATGACGCCGAGCTTTCGTCGCCTTGCCGAGACACAACAAGTCTAGGCAGCCGACAGCAGACAAACAAAGTACATGTTAGCAGGAGCATCCATGATACATAAATCAACCCTCTCACGGTCGTGATATGTGTGATGCAATACCCACTTCTCTCACGAAGGAATGCTGGGACTTGTATTGTAGTGGAGATGAGTAAGAAAATTAAGTATCTTGTGCTTGTAAGCTACATATTCAGCTACCTTGGTAAAACGCGAATTTATAGCAATTTTTATATGAAATTCTTCCGACAGCTATCAGTAGGAATTTAGTTTCCTTCTTTACGAGATGACTACTGCCCTTTCCCGATACTTGGCGCGCCATGCTGTCGCCCGCCGGAGAAGAGATGATCACCAGTTGTCGCGCATCACTGGGATATGGTTGACTTTTCCAGCGCATTCGATCCAGGATTCGGCGACTCTTGTGATGAGCTGTAGCGCATAATCAGGTTCATATTATAGTAGAGCCGGCGTGGCATGGACACCGCGTCTAGCTTGCTCAGGCCCCATGGGGTAGAAGCCGGCGACTTACATTTGCTCTTCCACGGCTACAGATTTACTTGCTTCTATCGCGTTCGATTTCGGTACTCTGCCCGTCACAGCTGAAGGTTTGCAAATATATGTTGACTTGTCGCATTTCACATGCTTATACACAGGCTTACCACGGCTAGCCTCACAGGGTGGGTATCTAGGAAATACGTTTGTCAAGCCCATCAACCAGCAGCAGGTCAAATTGCTGACTCGGTTTGCAGGATAAAGACTACGGTATTGACATACTAGAGTAATGATACTAAAAAAAGGCTTTCATACGTCAAAGAGAGTTCTCTCCCCCTCAGGTATGTAAACGCCTATACTCAAATTCGCTCTCACCTACACTGGTGCTGAAAATTCAACAACTTACGCTCAGGCGATTTAGGTGATGGAAATGCTACGCCTAATGGCTTCTTCAAATATCAAGAATGTTCAAGGCTTTATGACTGTTTTCAGAAGAGAGGCGGCAGGCTCGACGCCTAAGGCAGCAGCATCGGCCCGCTTTGCATCTTCTGTGCAGCCGCCTCGCAGCCCATCGATAGACTAAATCAAGAATCCGCAACAACACCAGAAGAAACCCCAGATGATACGTATTGCAACCCCCTCTGGGCTCTCGACAACAACATTAGTCTCTTGCACACGTCGCAAAGTCCCCGCGATAAATGTTCACCCCGATGAGCATGGCCCGACGTTGAAGCATCACGTGGGCCACCAGACACATGGTGTGGCTCACATCTTGCCTGCTTGCGAGCATCGACATTGTCATCCGCATGCAGCTAATACCCCGTACTCTGTAACTACGGTGAGACTAGTTGGTCACATCATGGTTGCTTGTCCCTCGTATCGCTCCATGAGGTTGGGCAATGTCCCGGACTGCCAGCTGCGTGCCTCGCCCAATAAACGAAAAGGGGCAGAAAAGACGTTGCATCTAGCAGAAGTGCATCAAGGACTTATCTTCTATTTTTTTTTTTTTCGATGGATCCTTTTGCACATATTTCAGCTACGAGCACGCCAGCTGCGACCTCTTGTGCTGGGCGATTTGTCTCTACTCTGGTTGACGACGAGTCTTTGTGAGGTAACATGGCAACATGATGCAAGCGCTCTGGCGTGGAATTATTGGTAAAATGATACGTGGTCCCTCTTGTAAACATCTTAATGTCATGAAAGCCGAATCGACTATCTTCTTGCCATGTCAGCCTTCTTCTTTCCATTGCAGGATACTGCAGGGTGATATGCAGCGAGGTACGGTGGTGGCGGGCGGCACAGCATGTCTGCTGTGCGCAACAAAGGGCGGCATGTCTGCTTGGCTGTCAGGTTGGGTATCAGCCATTTCAGCTGACTATTCCGAATTCTTGAGCCTTTTTCTCAGTCAGGAAGCAGCCAATCTTGCGCTGTAAGAATGTCGAGTTGTTTCGCAAGCCAACAGCTCGTCAATGCGCTGGCTGTTGGGTGATGGGGGGCCAAGCCTACAACTACTGGTATTAGTAGGAGGGCAAATTCAGTTGCACTGGTTGACTGGCTACTGTTGGTTGGGCTACCTTGCAGACGTCAGCTGTAGTGATTGACATTCTCTTTGCAAATCCTTCCATCTCGCAGACACCTGGAGTATTAATACAGACAAGTATTGATACAGACAAGTTTTCTCTTATTCTGTTGCTTCATTGGCTAAACCCAGACTCCGCACATGTACTGGCGAAAAGCACCCGCTTGCTAGACCTAATCCGCACAGCGGGAAGCGACCATGGCAAGTGGGAGGAGCGGCCCGGAACGCTGGTACGCGGATGAAGCCGGCGCCAGCGGAGCCCAGCATCAAATGAATAAAATCGTTGATAGACTATCCGTAATCCGTACGGATACGGATATTGAGTTTGATATAAGCAAGAAAGGGGCAATAAAGGAGGGTTCCCAGCCACGCAGCATAAGACGGTTCCCCGCACGCGCCTCACCTTTTTTTTTTTTGGTCTTGTTTTGCTCGCTCTCGGCAAGTCGGGCTTGCATATTCATAAAAATCCCACCAAGCTGGCAGAAGCTGGCACTCACTGGCTCACTGGACAGCACCGCACCGCACACAAGCCCACATTTTTATGCAAGGCAGGCCCCCCTCGCTAGTCCATCACGTCACTGGCTGGATGCACAAGGGAGGGGCCGGCGCACCAAGCAAGTTACTGAGACGGAAGACGATTCGCTGCTCTTTGGTAGAGGAGAAGGTGGTCGGTGATTGTGTGCGAGATTTTTCTTGTGATTGTTATTAAGGGAAGAAGAAATTCTGCAAAAAAGGAACCCAGACATGCATATGAGTGGATAGGTAACATAATAGGGAAGAAGATGCGCGGAGGCGGGTTGTGCAGGGCCTCGTCACCTGGTGATGTCGGCTTCTGGGGCTCTATTGGCCTGCTTATCTGCACCTCGCGAGAAAAGTAAGCAAAGCAAGTAAAAAAAAAAAAAAAGTTGATGGAGTAACAAAGAGATGAGGGAACATTTTTCGAGTAATACTTGTCTGCAGAAATATACGCGCTCTGGCTTGTCCGTCGTCAGCCCAGGTGATGCGACGCCGGCTGTGACGCTCCATCCAGTGGCTACTGACTACCTAGGCGGTGCCTCACCGATGACGGACGCATGCTCGCCTGTGCGCCTCTGCTGTACGCCTCTGGATGCATCGTTGAATCTTCATCGTCATTTTCCTGCCAATCTTTTTTTATCCCTCCTCCTCCTTCTCGCCCGTGTTGCCCGAATAGTCTCCCTTGTTTCTTTTTTTCTCTCGCGATTGTACTACCATTGCCGTGCCGGATCGCTTCTGGCGCGCCCCTCTTCGCGCTCGTTCGTGCTGGACAGTGCATAAACTAGTCGAGCGATTTCCAGCCACCTTTGCCAATGGGGGTCCAGGGAAATGTCCTAAAGAAAAGGGGTCTTCCATTATACTTTGTAGCTAATGAATTTCTTCATCCTCCTTTATTACCCATACCTTTATATCACAATGCGGAGAGAATATCCCTAGAGTCACTTTATACAGGCAATCATCCCTCGTGTCACGAAAAGCTAGCGCCAGCTGGCGGCCTGTTTGCACGTTTGCAGGGCTCCACCCGCCAGCTGCCAGCACTTTAAACCACCTGGCCACACCCTTGCAAGTCGGCAAGTCGGTCCTTGTAGCGCATTCCCTTGCGTCCCGCCCGCCGCCAGCCACTAGCACGTTCGTCAACACGGTACAAGCCCACTGACAGCCCACTGACAAACCCACTGACCAACCTTTTCTCCCCCCACCTCAAGCTGGAAGCCCTCAAGCCCTCAAGTGGTCAGCCTGCGCTACAACGGCTGGCTTCACACCCTAGCCTCTCGCCTTCTCATTATTCTCCCCAATATTCTCCAACGCCTTCGAAACAGCCTTCTCTCGCGACCTCTTCTCGCTAAGGGCACCCTCCGCCTCGCCTATATCCTTTGACTCACGACTCCACGGAATACCACCTTTCATCTCTTCATTTTCCCAGCTGCGCGACGTCAACTGTTCTTTTCCCCCTCCCATTCGTGTCTCACCCGGCCTCACGCCAACTCGGCTCGACCTCTTCCGCCGTCGACGCAGAGTTCTCATCCTTTTCTTCATGTCTGAGTGGCAGATTTGGTCCTGTTAACAACCCGGCTTGATTTTTATTACAGCATTCTTCCGCAACGCCCGCGCTTCTGCCACGACACCTGCGCTCAGCAATTCATCGACTTGCCCTCGGTTCTCACGTATGCGCTGCGTAGTTCTGGCGACCGTTCTGCACCTCCACTCTCGTCGATTCTTCTGTCTGACCAATTTTCTCGTCGTCTCGTCTCGTCTGTGCCCATGATCCGTTGAGCTCCCGCCACCCTCCGCTCATGCCGAGTATGCTTGCGACCGCGTCCCTTGCTCCGTCGCCGAAAATCATGGGATCGTCGACAGAGCACACATACCGGGCCCTTTCCGACCCGTTAGTCCCGTCTCCCAGACAGTTCAAGAAGCATAAGAGCTTGCCTCGACCGCCAAATGATATCGACCTTGCCCCAGATGCCGCTGCCTCTCGCGCCGCCTCGCATGCCTATCATCTGGTTCTCGATGCCTCGTACGCACTCAGCTCCTCCGCCACCCACTCATCCCCGGCTGCTGCCGCCCAAACCCTCAAGCAGACGTCACGACGCCTCGCCTCGTCCTCGTCTGCTGGTCCTGACCCTCCGCCAACACCCCCGGCGCACTCCCGTGCTTCCTCTAGCGGCCACCCCACACTGGACCCCAGCCCGACCACGACGGAACCTCCCAGATCACATCCTCCCCTTGCGCTGCGCAAACCTCCCGTCACGCCACCCGATCAAAGGAGCCCCCCGACTCCTGACGTAACACCTCCCCAGCCCAAAACAGCCCTGAAATTTGTCCGTCAACCTCGCTGGGAACAATCTCCTCCCGGCGCTACCCCGACAGACTCTCGCAACGACTCGTTCAAGACGGCTCAGGAAGAGCAATTCTCATCAGAGGAAGACCATGCTCGTACTGTCTCAAAGTCCCGAACCACTTCGGCGCGAACCTCCCAAGCCACCATCTTGCGCATTCCAGAGATGCCTGCACCTGCTCCCGTGCAGCCGCAGCCATTGTCTGCCGCCCCAGAGAGCGCACCCGTCAGCGCGCATCAGCTTACACCACGCACCATGAAGGCATTTCACCAATTTGATGGCGAATGGAACTCGGCGCGACAGCTAATGAGCGATCGCAACCACGAACACCAGCAAGACGGCAAACGATCGCAGGTAGTGGTCAGTAAGCGGAAGCGCCCGCTTCCCAAGACGCCCGTCGTTACACCCTCACCTGTCGCCAAACGCGAGGTGGTAGAAGACCATGTCGTCACCCCAACCGCTGCCACTCGCGCCGCACGACATATTCAAGTTCGCGACAATGCCGTTGTAGAGGCATCGCCCGTCAGCTCCTCTTTGCGATCCACTTCCGAGACCTCTGCCAGTGTCGACGCTCGGCGGTCTTCGGCAACATCCGCCCGATCAAGTTCTTCGGCCGTCGTTGAAGTCCTTGTGATGAATGGTCCCGCTCAACCACCCCAGCGAAGACAAACACTCCGGCATGTCAAGAAACATACTCTGTTGCGCCAACCTCCACATGTTCCTGACAGATCGTCAGGTGGCAGTTTTGAGGGTCACAGGCGGCTGCCCCAGCCGCAGCGCAAGCGTCTAGAGAGCCCAGTGTCACGCGACCGCAGTCGACCACCCAGCACTCAAGTCACTTCCAACCACTCCATTGGAGATAACAGAGCGCGCCGTGAGATTTGGAGCAATGGGGGCATTCCGGTCATTGTTGTGCCAGATAGACGCTCCTCGAACCGCAGCAAATCGCGCGAGCCCTCGCTACGCTCTACTTCCAGCAGACGCTCCAAGAGATCTGCGAGCGTGGGCTCGCCTCAACGACCCAGGGGCTCTTTAGATACTTCACGGCCGGAGTCTTTGTCCCGTGGCAGGATTTCTGCCAGCACCGCGGGCGATGAGCGAACTATGGATTTTGCTCCAGCGATTCCGCCTCGCTCCTCGTCGCTATCCGCCCCGACCAGCCGCAACGTCTCTCGCACGAATTCCTTGACTGCTGAGAGCATTCGTGCGCACAATGCCTTGCAACAACGGGAGGACGAAGCCAAGTCAGCCCAGGCAGTCAAGACCGAGCGACGAATGGGTGAGGCGTTCCCATTCCTCGGCCCGGCTCCCGCGTCAATCTCTCCTGAAAAGCCTACTGAGGCTCATTTTAGCCGCGACATTCCTCTGAGCCCACCGCTTGATCAGCTACCTGCCGAAGACGGGATGAGTGCCAAAAAGTATTCCTCTCGAAACACCCCTTTCTCAGTCGCGTCAGTTGCCACTACTGGAACTGCACCAGAAGTCTCAGAGGCATTCGCAATACACATGTACCCACACCAGAACTCGTCTGTCGTAATGGTCAACCATTCTGCTCGGCCATCTGACGCCTCCAGTGCCGCACGCGCTGAGTTGTTGCCTCAGCTTGTCCCCACCATTACCACCACTGACACTCAAGACGAGCCGCCCGTAACGCCCCCCGAACAGCCGATCAAGGCGGAAGACGTCGATTCCCCCCTACGCAATCCCCGAGCACCGCCTGAGCCTCCGACGCATCTCCCCGTGCTCAACCTGATTCCTGCGACGCCGTCTGGGGCTACACCAGCCGATGAGAATGACAAGAGATTGGGAAATATATTTGAAACGTCTCCGCCAAGACGCGAATCCTTGCTCAAGCGAGCGTTCAGCCGTCGTCGTCGCAACTCTCTCGATTACCCGCCCACCACCTCTAAGCCTGCCGGCAGACTGACGCGGTCATTTTCGCTATCGCGTTCTTTGGGTCTAGACTCGAAACTTCGTCCGGGTTTTGAAGCAGACATCGACGGCGAGCTGTCGCCTAGGGAGGCGAGCGAAAGACCTGTAGAACGAGAGAAGCTGCATCCGCTATGGCGTCCGCAATATGACGACGAAGAGTGCGAGTTTGGCGACAGCTGTCCTCACCACAGCAAGCGCGACACTATATACCGCTATCCACTAGTGGACAACCGCCCTCACCCGCCAAAGAGGAGCCTCAGCGCCCGCGTGAAGACTACATTTGCGATTTTGCCGACCCGAGACGAGAGGCAGTATCCAGCCGAGGAGAGCACGAGTTGGCCAGAGCGGCGAACTATTCAGCGGACTCCCAGTGGCAACTTGCGAGTGATGCAGCGTCGCAACAGCCTCGACTCTCTGCCCATGTCACCCCGGCTCAACAGAGGACAGACGGAGCCGCTGCGCTCGTCCGTGGCCACGGAGCAAACTCGGCCATTTTGGCGCCCCGGCGCGCTCCGACGCGCCGAGACGGTAGACACCGGAACGGGCCGACGCACCCGACGCTTCTCGTTAAGCGATAGGCTAGAAGACTTTCCCGGCATCCCGCGCATCCTGAACGAGAAGCGACGCGAAAAGAGGACGCAGGAGCTGCGTCAGATGATTAGCGCGCCTACCAATGTCCGCGACGGCGTGGGGGAGGTAATTCGACGCGGCAACGGGGGCACTCGAGAACCCTTTCAAGCGAATCACTCTAGCTTTTGAGTCGACCACCATTTGCCCTTTTGCTATTCTGCCTGCTTTTGCAAACTTCATGCGTACAAGTACTGAAACGTGACGCATCTTTTTTTTTTTTCCACATTTTATGACGCGATGATTTTGACACGACACACGAAACGACACAATCAAAAAGACTGATACCTGTTGACGATTGCTTACGACATACACGATACGATGAAACAAAGAGAAATGGACGTCTTCTTTTAGAAAGGCGTCAAGAAACAGCACACGCGGCGGAATACGTGATTCTCACTTTAGCGCTTTACTTTGACTGGAATGGGGGGAGAAAGGGGAAAAATGAGGTGTTGCCTTTGTGAGCTTGACGGGAGCTGGTGATGCGGGAAACGTTGAGCAGAAATCTTTGTTGGGCAAGTCTTGTTTTGGGGAAGGTGGGTGCTTTCTGTATTGATATGATTAGGACAACGTGTTTATGATTTGGGGTTTTGTGCTTTATTGGCAGTTTGATTTTCTTTGGGCGGAAGGAATGTATATAGGCTGGGAAATGGAGGCAAGCGCGGAACAACGACGAGGCTGGCTCCTTGACGTGAAGCATTGAATGGATTTTGTCAATCATGTCAAATTGGCTTTACTAGTTCCGTACACTGTGATTGTTGCAAAGGTAGTTACAGGAGGCACTGATTGAATCTTGTCAAAGAACGTAAATGTGTCTTTGCTTCTTCCGTACACTGTATCATTTTCGGAAGAAAGTTTTGAAAGTAAAAGTGTACACGTAAATAGCCTGAATGCTAAACCAAAAGAACGCCGAATTTGTTTTTGCCTCGCAATTTCATAAACGCCACCAGTAATTGTGATTTTCCCATGATAAAGTCCCTTGTTCGCCACCACTGCCATCTCTCGCCATCTGCTCTCGCTTTGCCACTGTGGCATGGCTAGCCTTTTCATCGACGAGGATCCTGACCAGGTGGAGGAGGTCCGCCGCTCGGGAAGCCAGGCGGCGGGAACTGGAAATTGGGCGGCAGCCCGCCGGGAGGAGGAAACGGCAGCCCGCCCGGTGGGGGAAAGGGGAGTCCTCCGGGCGGAGGCATCGGCAAGCCGTTGGGGCCGCCGGGAGGGAATGGCGGCATAGGAGCACCGCGACCACCAGGAGGCGCTAGAGCGTGTTTCTCATTAGCATCTTTAGTCATAACCAACAAAGTAACTCTGACAAGTCTCGCAGGAACGACGTACGAGGAAGTCCAGAGGGGAACGCGCCGGGCGGCGCCCCCGGCATGCCAGGGAATGGCGGCAGGGCCGCTCCTGCGCCGCCGCCAGGAAACGGAGGAAACGGCGGTGGGTGGTGCTGGAAGCCGCCGTGGTGGTGGGCGCCGGGTTGATTCTGCGGGAGCATGGGGTTGGCGTGGGCCTGGCCCTCGGCGGCGTACGACGACGTGATGCTGTCAATGACTGACTGGGCCTTTTCGTGGCCAATTTCTGCAGACGAGGTGTCAGATTTGCTACTTTTGCCTTGCTTGCGACGTTCTCTCGCTCGAGCGGGGAGGGTTGGGGGGGGGAACAAACGTTGGTAGTAGTCGACGACGTTGCGGAGGTGGTTGCGGCCCGAGTTGTGAGCTTTGCGCACGCTCATCGAGTCGTGTGTCAGGTAGACATCGCAGTAGTCGCCTGGATGGGAAGAAGAAAGAGTCTTTTGGTTAGGTTTTTTCGTGTTTTGCGTCGCATGGGGACAGATTCGGGTCCGGGGAGGGGAGAAGCTTACAAAAGACTGGGAGATACTAGTCAGCGGAAATGATGCGTAATTAACACACAGGTACAGGATGGCATTGGGGACTCACATTTCGGCATCGTGGCGGTATTAGAGGCGTTCGCGATGCGGGATACGGACTTGAGGTTGAAGCTGGCTGGCTGTCGCGCGACGAGATCAAAAAGTCCTAGGCATCGGCGCCCCACACGTGATTTTGACACCGGTACTTGTCCTTTGGCAGGTAATTCCGGCAAAATACAAGTACCCGAGCTACAACTGCAGCGCAAGCTCATGATTGGTGCACCTCCAAAGCCCCTGACAGGCGAAGCCACATTGACGCCAGAAGCCAGCAACAGCACTACCTAACGTACCTTGAAGGGGGGGGCTTGATTTTTGGCCAACGCGACACCTTGTCAGTTTCCGTAATCCTCGAACGTGAACACTTTCCATCTCAACCAACGACGACGGGACGCAGGGTCGACTTGCTTTCTGCCAATTGACGAAAATAAGGGCAACTAAAGAAGCAAAAGAAAAAAACGAAAGAGGAACCACACACAACACACAATGGCCGTCGCTTCCAGATCGCTGCAGTGGCTCTGCAGCCTGCTCATGCTGCTGGGCGTCGCCACCGCGCTCAAGTTTGAGATGCCCGCGCACACGGGCGGCGAGAGCCACCGTAAGGAGCGCTGCATCCGTAATTTCGTCAACCGCGACACCATGGTGGCCGTCAAGTCGGTCGTGGGCGGCTACAAGGGCGACGGGATGGTGGTCAACATTCACGTACGTGCAGAGGCAAAATACCATGGGGGGAAAGACCTTGATTGGAGGCTCCGGGAAGGACAGAGACTAATGGTGGCTTGATAGATTCGCGATGCGCTCGGCAACGAGTACGGTCGTCCTCGGGACGTGGTTGGCGAGAACCGCGTCGTCTTCACCTCGCACTCGGACGCCTCCTTTGACGTCTGCTACGAGAATCTCTTTTCCGGATGTACGTGGCTGTCTACAATAACAAAAAACAAAAAATCATTCTCCATGGTGACCAAATGAAAAAATTGCTAACACGCAACACACACACACACAGCCCACCGCCCCTCCCCCTCAACCCGCGACATTGAGCTCGACGTTGAGATTGGCGCAGACGCGCGCGACTGGTCTGCCGTGCAGGCCAACGAGAAGCTCAAGCCCGTCGAGGCGGAGCTGCGCCGTATCGAGGAGATGACGGCCGAGGTAGTGCGCGAGATGGAGTACCTGCGCACGCGCGAGCAGAAGCTGCGCGACACAAACGAGAGCACGAATACCCGCGTCAAGTGGTTCGGCATCGGCACCACCTGGCTGCTGATTGGTCTCTGGGCCTGGCAGATTATGTACCTGCGTGCGTATTTCCGCTCCAAGCACCTGATTTAAAGGGGTGTGGGGTGGATGACAGCTGAGGGAGAGATGTTGAGTTTGGAGGGAGGGGGAAAAAAACTGGCTGGATGGAGGGCTCAAATGTGTAAGAGATGAGGACTTGGTGGTTTTTGGCATGCGGATGGGATGGCGTTTTGAAATTCATCATGACGGTTTCACGCAATCTGGAGGTGAGAGACGAAAAAGAAGGGGTGAATGGGGTGGAAAGATGGCTGGCGGCGAGGATATGTCGTCTGTCGTAAACTATACAATGCCAGCTAGCTGGTGGATAATACAGATACTCTACACAGATGATCTGACACGGGGATCGTCATTTTCTCCTTTGACTTATATAATGGTCCTGACGTGACGAGGCAGGCGCTTACTCCAAGCCGATATACTTCTTCTCTTGGACAATTCCTACCAGGCCGTGATGTCCTCTCGACGGCTATTTTGAAGCGCCTTTTCTTGCGAGGCCCGCAGGGCCCGGCATGCTCGTCCGGGAAGATGAAGCTCTCCCGCGCACAATCATTATAACTCGAAAAACATATTCACAACCAGCATCAGGCCCGGCGCCTTTTGTGAATAATAAAAGCCCTCGATCTGAGCCCTATTCAGCGTGCCTGGCCGAGGTTGAAAAGGACAAAAGACTACAAAGGGTATCGATTCCGGACAACAGACCTTTCTTTGATAGGCATGCCCGTTAGTATCTCGCTTCTGTTCGCAGCCAAGCTCGCTTATTAGCCCTTGTTCCATCGGCCCATTACCGCTGAACCTTTCAGGCTCCCGACGAAAAGCCATGGTCAAGGCTACCATTTCTCTCTTCGAATCCTATCGACTCTTAATTTTGTCGACAATTAGATCCCGGACTGGCCCAAAGTATCAAAGGAAAAAGCTCATCTTTTGACAGCCAGTGGGCTCCTTGTCAGGATCAAAGCCTCGTTGGGTAGGTAGCCTATGCATACCAACGGTTGATATTAAACGGGAACAGTCCTGTCCAATGCATGTAACTGGGTACTTTGGGTCGAAAACACGATACATGAATCCCCCTTGTACCAAAGGAACCTACCCATGCCCGTCCACAAGGTTTCGCAAATCATGCGATACGCTCCGCCTATCCTTCCTTCATCCACAACAACCACTACATCGACAGCCGAGCCCCAACTTTCAAACATCTCGGCAAATCCTCATTCTCTGCTTTTTTCATATGCAAAGAAAATGGACCATTTTATATTGGTTCTACTCAGTCATCTCCAAGTAGAGAGGACTGCCAGAAAATAATAGCTAGCTAGTCATTGTCGTCCCAGACATCAAGTGCTCACTATGGCAAGACCCTTGGACCAGACTAATTTAACTCCAAAAGAAGCAACTTGACCTAGCGTGTCAAACTCGTGATATGTCGTCGTCATGTGGCTTCTCTATCTGTAGTCTAGAGATGCAAAAATGGAGATGTTATTACGACTTGTCTGTATTGTTTTCGCCGTATAAATCTCAGTGTGTGAAAATGTACGAGAGAAGATAATCGAGCAGTCGAGGTAAAAATGCTTGGTTAAACGCGTAAATTGGGATAGATTATGAAAAAAATGTCTCTCTTTCCCCTTCCGCCATCCCCGGACCATGACTCCATGGTAATCATTCTTGCTTTTGCCATTTCTTCTTTCCCGTCCTACCCACGCCAATCGTCTCGGCACTACCTACAGACCTTTTATAGTCCCATTCTCGCAACCTCCCTTCTTGTCTGTCCGTCCTCTGCGCCTCTCTCTTTCTCTCTTTCTTCTCTCCTTCACAACCTCATCGCCATCGTCTCGTTCTCGCCTCTTCCAAAACCCCACCCCAACCACATTAGCAACCATGAAGTTCCTCGCCGCCCTCATCCTCCTCGTCGCCTCAATCGCCACCGCGCAGGACAAGACCTGCGAGGCCGATTACATAGTCACCCGCTGCCTCCAGACCGAAAACGACAAAGTATGTTCCCCCCCTGCCTCCTTCCATCTACTTGTCACGCAGAATTCATCAGCCAACCCCCTCTTCTACAAGGTCACCGCCTGCAACCAAACCGATTTTAACTGTCTCTGCGCATCCTACCAAGCCATTGCCACGTATGTCTTCCTCTTCTACTTCTCCTCTGCTTCCCATGGTCCCCAAATTGAACTTTGGAAAAAAAAACCCAGCTGCTACAACAATTGCCCCAACGACGCCCGCGCCCCTTCTGCTCGCGCCCAAGTTGCCGCCTACTGCCGCAACCCCCTCACCACCACCGCCGCCGCCGCTGCACCTTCATCATCAACTTCTTCTGCTTCTTCCTCTACATACTCTTCATCGGTTGGCCTCGCGACCGATATTGACGGACCGACGCCAACGACCAGCACGGGCTTTGTCAACGGCACGCCCACAAGCGACAGCGCGACGCACAAGAATTGCGCCGGTGTGGTGCTCTTTGTAGCTGGTATCGCTGGAATTCTTGCTTTACCGTAAAATTTTTGTTTCAAAAGTGACAAAATCTAGAGCTGTTGTTCTCTTTTTCGATAATTCTGGCCCCAGACATGGTGTGCGAAGCTTGGCTTGGAGAAGACCTTTGTACTGCCCATGGGAGGGGTGAGCGTCCTTACAATGCCTACAATTCTGTCTCATACTTGGCCTGTTCAATCAATTGATCTATCACTTGTTTATTGAGAAACGCAGTAAGCCTGGCGCTTGCTACTTCATCGTGCTACTGCGTGCTGACATGCTTACCCAAGTGCACAGCGCGCTTACACACCGTAAGCCAACAGCTTCTTAACCTCACTACGTAACACGCGTAGCTCCAGGTAACACTCATCACACAAAATCACATCACATCACACAGAAGCACATCTGTCAACAAAAGCTGTTCTTATTGTCGATCCAATCGGTATCTATCATACAGCAAGTTGTCAACGCGCAAATCATACAACGCCTCCACTTGCCCGCCTGTGTCCAGGCTCGCGTGGCAATCCGAATCAACCAATTTTTGCCCCTCATGCTTCTCTGCATGTCCAGTTGTTGTGAGAATGTACCATTCTCTCAAAGTTTCTACAGGAAGAAAACAAATAAACAAAAACAAGAGCTCGAAACGCGCCAATCCCTCTCCGAAAATGCCAAAATAAACGCCGGTGAATCCACGCTCCAGAAATCCATGGTCCAGTTCCCATAACTATGTGTTTTTGAGCGTTGCGCATCGTACGCAGGTTTAATAATAATGTAGGGTGTGAACGCGACTAAAATCGAATATCGTAGTAAAAACAGGGTGTTGAGAAGATAGAGTGGTGACTGTACAGTCTGGTGGTAGCAGTTGCTACACACGTCGAGACTTTCGCTGCTTTGTATTGTTTTGCTTCATCGAACCCATGAAAGTGACGTGCTTGGAGTCGTCTTTGCGAAGTCTGACGGTACCGGAGCCACGGCGAAGGGCGCGAGGCTCATGCTCCTCATCAATGGCAATCTCGGCAACGTCAGAGACAGAGTCTGCTTCCATATGGTCGCTAGCCTCAGAGACGGACGAGCCCTCATCAGAGTCGTCGTACTCTCCGTCGTCGCTGACTAGTGACGGCGCATTGTTGCTCACCAAGGTGTTGGGGCTGAGGTTGTCTTCGCGCATCGGCATGTCATCATCTGACAGCCCAACGTGGGATGCCGATGACGAGCGAGGCGGCGACACAAAGTCAATGTGGGCAGGACGGCCCTTGGAGCTGGGCGGCCTCGCCATCGGCGTAGGAGAGCTGTGCGCCGGCATGCGCATAACAACCGATGTGCGGACAGTAGCAGGATCGCCACCAATCCGAGGCAGCGGACCGTCAGTATCAGATTCGTCTCCAGAAGCCTCGTCCAAGGACATCTTGGTTTTGGCATCAGTCACAATATCGCCGAGATTGCCTTTGAATTTTTTGTCCTGCATGAACTTGGACAGGTAGGGAGTGTCGGCAGCAGCCTTGAAATTGTCGGTCTTCTTCTTTTGCAATTTTATGGCACGACTGGCAGTAGCCTTGGGTTGAGGGTACAACTTGAGAGCATCGGCAATTCTGCTGCGCAGAGCCGCGTAGGCCTCCTGGTCGGTGAGATCATGGGCAGCAAAGGGGTGCACAAAGGCCGAGATTGGTCCAGCAGGAGCGGGCTTGTCGTCGATGGGGGTGGAGACGCTGTTGGTGCGCGGCTCGGGAGCGGCATCAATAGCCTGGCCACTTTGAACAGCAGCCTCCTCATGGCTCTTGAAGTCGCGCTTGTGGGCGATGCGGCAGTGGTTGATGAAGCCTTGGGTACTGGAAAAGTTTTCGCGGTTGCAGTCAAGGCAAACAAGTTTGACAGTTTGTCCATCGGAGCGCTTAAGGATACAAGGACCGGCCTTGTCCTTTGGCTGAGGGTATCCGCTAGAGAGGGAATGCAGACGTTGGCCGGACATGGCACGGTTGGGACGACCCTTGCCGACGGTGGTCTCTGTAAAGCTGTTGCGCGTGGTGCGTCCTTCGGCGAATGAGGCGCGTGCAGCGGCAAAGTCAGCGGTAAACTGCCACTCAGGTTGCATTCCGTCAAAAGACGGGTCGGGAATCAGCCACTTGGCGTAGTGGCGGGCATAAGGACCGTCGACAACGCCAAAAGGCGGCGCCCATTTGGGTGCAGGTTCGGCGGGGTGGTTGGCAAGGGCTGGCCCCTTTCCGTTGGTGACTTGAAGCATCTGATCGGGCGTTGGGCAATTGACAGGATACGGTATCAAGTGGCAACGGCGCAGCTGTTCGAGGGCAATCTGACATTTAGCAAGCTCCTGGTTAATGAGGCGCAGCTCGTCGTGTTTGAGCAGAATCTCGAGACCGAACTGGTGACGGATCTCGTCGCGGGCGCACTCGAGAGGATCTTGCTGGGCGTAGAGCATGTTGTCGTCGTGGGCACGTCTTTGACGCTTGGCGTGGGGTTCGGCATGGTCCAGCGACAGCGACTCGGCATCTCCGAGGCCGTGCAGCTTTCTTTTCAGAGGGTGCGTGTCGGGGGAGGAGGGATCGGAAGCCGTGGTGGGTGAAGGCGTCGGACGCTGGTGGGCGTGGGCGTAGGCACCGTGTGAGGTGTCTATCGACTGATCACAGCCCCTAGAATCCGAGCCCCAGAAACGAAACATGGAAGCGCCGTGTTGTGGGTGAATGCGACAAAGAAGACGGAACGCGCCGCTCTTGTCGCAAAGTCAGGCTTTGGAGTTGTCAGATGGTTTCGCGAACGGATGCGCGCGAAAAAGAAATTGATGACTAAGGCCACTAAATAAAGAGTAGGTGTGTGTGATGGAGTGTTGTGTCAAGTGTGGCGTGTGGCGTGTGGCGGGAGAGGTGTGAAGGACAAAAGCGGAGACGGTGCTGCCTGGTGCTGACGTAACGTAAAGGCGCAACGAGATTGGACAGAAGCCAAGGGCGTACGTTGGCGGGTGTCACTGATGAGCGAAAGTGGCTCCGTCCTGAAAGTGGAAAAGGCGTGTTTTGAGGCACAGGCCAGGCAAGTGGCACAGTGGCAACAGTGGATGCGCACGCAGGTGGGAGCTGCCTAGCAGGCTGGCTGGCGTAAGAAAAATGGCAGAGTCAGAGAGGGAAACTGGGCGAGAGCGAGAGAATGGGAGGGAAAGGTGCTGTTTGCGGCGGACGCGACAGCGCAGACGTTGAGAGTAGAGGGCAGAGAGGAAAAATGAAGACCAGGAAAACAGAGAGGAGATCGAGCGCTAACGAAAGCCTCGAGTCAAATTTTCTGGCGACAAAAATGAAGGCGAAGAAGAATAAATTATTAGGGAGGAAGATGCCGGGGCAGGAGGGTGGTGAGAGTGAGGAGAATGAGGGAGGGAGAAGGCAGAGCAGGTGGCGATGGGCAGGCGAGAAAGGAGGACGGGGGAGGGAGCTGGGAGGGAGGGAGAGGATGAGACTTGAGAGGCAAGGAGAGAGGTATGACTGGCGGGCGTGTATCCCCGTACCAGAAGGACGGTTTAGGTTTGGGGGTCTCAGGCTGGTAGCGGACAGCTTGAAATGCAGGCGGCGAGCTAACAGGAGCGAACAAGCACTACCAGGTACCTAGGAGGTTGCCTGGAGCAGCGGAGCTTGAATGGCAGTTGCAGTTGTTGGCAGGCATGGCAGGCAGCCAGGGAGGCATTGGCAGCGCAGCTCCTTCCTGCAAGGTGTTACATGAGGCCGGGGCGCGGAGGTGGACCAAAAAGGCCACGCTGCAGCCTATCACCAGGGACGCCTGGGTAGCTTGACTGGGATACGGGCGAGAGAAGAGTGCGACAAGGAAAAAAAGATGGGTTTCGCTTGTAGTAGAAAATGGGCCCAATGACGGTGACGGTGACTTGGCCTCCAGCGCCGCAGCTTGCGTGTCTGCACTTGCAGTTAAGAATGCTGTTTGGATGCTTTTACTGGTTGTTACTCTCGTACTGCAACCCTGATGCGAGGGCCTCCGAAGCATATCGAAGCATATCAACTTAATATTCCTTGTTCTCTGTTTCTTTTCTTTCTTACTTTTTTCCCTCTTTTAGCCAACCAAGCTCGGGAGCAAACTACCAATACAATTTTACTTTTTCCAGTTCCTTTGGTGGTGGAGTGGATTCACAACCTCACAGTGTTTGCTGCTGTGACGCCCGCCCAAGCCGCCCGCCCGTTGCCAGCCAAAGATAAGCCGTTGATGCCGCTGAATTGCGCCATGCCCGCCCTTCGATCTGCCGTTCACAGATGAATAAAGGCAATAAACGCCAAAGAAATATGAGCACAGTGTCACTCTACACGCCTGGTAGCAAAGGATTCGCGACCCCGTCTCCACGGGGATGATGCAAGCACTTTGCGTGATATCAAGATGAAAAGGAATATAGATAGATAGATGGGCCAGCCTCAGTCAGATCGGCCTGCGACAAGGGACGCCATTATGTGATAAAAAAAACGCCCCGTCGTCTCGACACTGTATGACGCCGCCAGCGGATCCAACGGCGAATGCACTGCGCAAAGCACGTTGTGTTTATTGAGGGAGAAAATCAACAACAAAACGTCGACTCATGTACCCTCCTCGTTGAAATGAAACAATCTCGCATTGCGGCATCATGTCCACAGCTTCAGCTACACCAAAAAAATAAATGGCATCGCGGCGCAAAGCTCTAATCTAGAACTTTCGAAACTTCAAGAGCAATGCTGCACAGTGGGCATCATCAACCTTGTTTTTCTTGTTGCCTCTCTTCTCTCTACCTAGCTCCCCAGCATGCACACACTTTATTACTTTTAAGGCGACAGATACGGTTTCACCTTTCCTTTCAGATGCCACCCTGAACCCCCGACGCCCCAACTTTCGGCCCCCTTTGACTTGACTATTTGTTTGGCTGTCTCTCATTATGCAATTCCTGATACATGGACGGACCCTGAGCATTATGATAGTGGTGACTGCGCTTTATTATTACTTGCATGTGCGCGAGTCTACGTGTTGTTGTAGATGCCGCTGCTCACCACCCGCCATCATCATCATCCGGTCCTCCCCTCCTCAGAATTTGAGGCTTCCTTTTTTT